ATGTGTTGGCGAGTGTCACGGTAAATATGGGTTCACCCATTTCACACAAGGCAGAAGTATTCAGTGACTATAGAAAGGCCATGAAACATGAAACTGGCCTATTTGCAGCATCATGCCCTTTCCACGGAAGAAAATAAAAATTGTTGATGAAGACGAATCTGGCAAAAGTAGAGCCAAATGGGTACGTCCAAAAGAAGCAGATCCTCAATGCTATCATGAGTCAAGCTCGCAAAGAGAACTCGCGGAAGGTCAGCATCAAGCTGAGGAAAGGGTGAGTATTGACCCAGAAACGCTACATGAAAGCGATGGCCTCGGCAACTTTTTGGATAAAGCAAGTGAAAGTAAGCCCTCCAGCAACAAATATAGGGACATGAAAGGCAAGGATATTGCAAACTGGAAGCTCATTCGTGACTCTATTCAAAGAGTTGCAGTAGAAAATGAAGCGCCTCCGCCTAATTTGGAAAACTGTCTTCGTTGCAGCTTGAATTTTCAACTAAGTAGGCGAGAAGATAGCCATGAATCATCCTATTTGTTTCGCTGCAAGGATTGTGGGCCTCATTATTTTGTTTGCAGACAGTGTCTGATAGATGATCATTTTCTTCGACCAGCTCATTGGCCCCAAAGATGGGATGTATGTACACATTTTTACCTACCTTATTTTTGTTTAAAAAACTTTTTTGTGAAAATGATCTTAATGAATTGTTAGGATTGGGGGCACCGGGTGCTTAATCCAATTTTTTCAATAGACCTTCAAAATGTGGATGCAGATGGTCTATTTTCAATTCTTTAAGCTGCTTTTGGCAAAGTATGAGGGTGGCTCCAGCCCCCACCCCCCTTTCCTCGGTGCTTGTGTGAGAGCACCTCCCTTTGCACTTTTCATATCTAGACATTCTTTGTTATTCTTGTTTAAATGTAAATTGATGATCACAAAAATTCAAATTTGATATAGTTCATACAAGCCAACCCTCGGGTGGAGTGGGCAACCCTCGAACTAGAATTTTATTAGCAAACAACTGTTATTAAATTCTAAAAATGAAAATTGAAGTTGTGGTAAGGAAAATGTAATAAGATTGTCCTGGTAGTTGATTCTTTGCGATTTTATCAATAAGTAAAGAGTAAATAGAAATGAATTCTCCAAATCTGGGTTTTCGTACAAAATATTAAAATTATCATTATTAAAGTTTACGCATTAGTACCTTTCTTCCTGTCAATGATACATTTTGCCTCAAAGTTTTCTTTTTGTGAAATGTTTTTTTTTTGCCTTCGAATCGTGTGTTCTCTACTGCTAAATATATTTGGGAGGGGGTGGGTCGTAAATTCATCTGAAGAGACTATACACATGAAGTTCAGGCCTTTGTTATTGAGGTGGATTGATTTTGTGCTCCTGTCACATGAAGAATACCAGGGAAGCTTATCGAAACTTAGGCCGGAAAAATTTGAAAAAAACTACCCCATTTTGAATGTTGAAAAAGGTGAAATAATTGAAAACTTTTTGAAACACTTGGAAACTAAACTTGATGTAGCTGCAACATCAGTTATTCAATGAAATCAAGGTGGTGAGGGTATTGGCCATATTATGAAAGAAATGGGGATAAGAGAATATTTTGGTGTTTACACAGCAAGAGGTTATCATGCTAAAATGAAGCAAAAATGAGAAGTGCAACAAACCATGGTGCATATGAAATCTGTCAAAGCAATCTTAACAAAATTAAGATCTGGAGTTCAGCCAGAAAATAACTTGTCAGGTGGCATAGAAAATATGCCTGATATGTTACAAAAAAGGCATTACAACATCAAAAGAACTAGAATGCATAAAATGGTTGTAGCATGAAACTGATGTCTGACCAGAAACTCTTTTGTTGCAACCTCAAAATTATCATGTACATGTTAACTAAACAGTTTAAACTGCCTCAATATTAAGTTGGGGAACTTGATGCCTGTTTTTGAAACAGATCTGACTGTTATAGTCCAGGTTTGAAAACATGCAAGATTTTGCTGCATATCACTGCCATCAAGCAACAATGCCCATTATATGCAACTCTGGTATAATATACATGACATTATTAATATTTGGGTCAGAAGAGGTCAGAGGGATGAGCTCAAGAAGTATAGCTTAGTTGCCAGCATAGGCAGATTTTTCAACCTAGGGTACAATTGACCTGTTAAATAATATTAAAATAGACCCTGTTCTCTAGAACAAAAAACATTTCAATTGTCATTTTTCAAAACCTAAATATAAAAGGCTTATTCCCTTATCAAATTAGGTAGAATAATGAAATTTTCTAATTTGCAGATTTAGAATTAAATGTTAGTCTAAATCAGGGAGTGTTTGGCAGAGGGTGAATATTGGTTGCTTATATCACATACCTATTGGCAATAATGCCTTTACGTCAATAGGGCCTTAGTTCCTCATAGCTCCATTAGTCAGAGTGAGTCAGGTATGATGCATAGTCTTCTAAGCCAATCAGCATATATGTGTATTTGGGTTTAGCACCCTTTTGCCATATAAGGGTATTTTCACTAAAAGGGTATATCTAATGGTATCGTCTAATACACTCACTTGCAACCTACATGTGGCTTGAGAGTTTGTAATTTCCCCCCTCCACTCCACTACCACATGTGACTAAGCTATCCCTTCCTGCCCATTATTACAATATTGTACTAGTTATTAAGTAATTTTTTAATGCTGATTATTGTAGCTTATTGTTGTTTGTAGCTTACAGTATTGTAATTGTTTTGTATGGAACAAGAATTCACTGTATTCCCAACCCTGTCTTGTTTCTAGCACATATGTAATTTAGACAAAAAATTTTGAAAAAAATATTCTGGATAAGCAGAGATAACCTCTTTTCCTTTTTATCTGTATTGCTAGTATGTTCCAGTATGGTAGTTGCAATTGTTGTCAGATTTTCATCATCAACACAAATCTATTCTTTCTTGTTATATACATTCTACTGTCATGAATTATAGGGCGTATTCTCCAAGGCTATTTCTGACTTATACTTCAGAAAATTTTAGAGATTGTAGAAGCATAGTTAAAGGCATTGAGTCATGATAAATAGACTGGTTATACCCTAAGTGCCAAAATCCGCTGAGTCATGATTTCCATGACTGCAATGCTATTGGTTGACCTTGAACTGGTCACATGAACTCACCTCGTACTGATTAACATAACAGTTTCCATCAATAGCAAGTTGTCAACAACGGATGCCAATATCACATGAAACAGCAGCGATCACGCCAAACCCAATGACCACCTATAGAGAAGGCCTATTTACCATGACTCGATGCCTTTAAGCTTTTGAGTAAATGTAATGTTTTTAAGTATATTTCCATTTGAAAGACTTTTATTGTCCTTAATCAGTTGGGAAATTTGAAGATGGTTAATCAGCTTTACTTGGCATTCACATACAATTTTTTTATCTTTATTTATGTAAGCTGCATTGTTCAATTCAGTATGGTTTAAGATTTCTTATTGCTTATTTTGTGACACATTATTTAACCAAGTTTATATTTCCTTCATTTAATTTTCTGTTTTAAAGATATTCAGTTATGGCTCTTAGTTAAGCATGCTTCACATAGTCCATTGGAACATTTTAATTATCAAGTTTTAACCCTTCACAGAACCAGATATTTTATTCAAAAATATGATCTGTAAGAATTTAACTTAAAATGGCCTGAGTTTTTGGTTTGAGTAGCCTTTTTCCTCTCCAAGTTCCTTTATCAAATATCCAATTTTTGTGAATAATTTTGAGCCTTGTCACATTGTGGAGAGGCTTTGGGGAAGTCACATTGAAACTGGTTATCTATATTCTGAATGTTTACTTTTACCAAAGTTTTTACCAACATCTTTTCTTCAATATAATAAACAAAGAGCTGTCTACTTTATTGATTTAGGGAGAAAGATATGTGAATATTCAGCTCCACAACTATGAAAACCCTTTAAAAATACCAGCAGCTGTGCATTCATGCCAGACCCAATACAAACGATGTATCAAAATTGTTGACATTCAAGGTTAGATTTTAAAATGGTTGTCTTCATTGAAGTCTTTAACTGCCAGAATTTGCATTGAAATATGCCAAAAAATGATTTTATGGCTGAATAACCTTCTCTGCCATACATTTATATTTGGCAAGAATTTAAATCAACAAAAGAAAATTTTATATTATGTCTACTAAATATATATTTTAATAAAGAAATCTTCTTAACAACTATCCACTGAATGCTTATATCCTAGATTTTCCTAAAGTACAAAAAATTTCATAATCAACTTATTCTACTTTGTCTGCTTATGTAACATGTCGCTGTCACCAAAATACTGTTTAGTTTCAAATATACCTATTACCACCTGTTGTAAAATTACAGCACTTAACTTCTTAAAAGAATTAGCCTTCAACTATTGCATTCTATTGTGAAAAACTGGGGGGAAATTGAAAACTTTAAAATCCTCATCTACTACTTGAAAATGCACGAAGTCAGGTTTCAGTAGATTTGTCTACAATATTTATGGCATGTGGTATTCTACTGCCTGCCTAATGTTTACATGGTCTGATCCATCTTTTATCTAGAAAAAACAACTTTTTATCATCATCCTTTGCTTTTAGGGAGAGTTCAAGATGCCTTCGTGACATTCTGTAGCTGTGAAAAAGAGGCATTGACTCTTTTTAGGCTTGGTTTCTGGGCCTCGTCTAGCATAAAGCCATCAACAGCATACAGTACTGAGCTTTTGAAAACAACGAAAGCATTGATGCTGGAATGTCACGTTTCCCTTTTTGGAATGGCAAACTCAATGAGATGGAGGAATGGCTTATCAAAGACGCAGGTTGATTCATCTCATTCTAGGAATCTACTTTTCAGCTTTAAACCATTCTTTTTTTCTATGTATCTTGACTACGTCTTTATTGAAAATAGAACTATTACATATCTTTCTGGTTCTGGTGGATGCCTTGACGCACTGAGGGCGGATATTACTTGCGCATCATGGGAGAGTTTGTTTGGAAATAGCATTAAATTGGAAAAACATTGGTTTGAAAGAGCTGCATTAATTAATCAAGTCTTTTATTACTAAAAATCTATACATTTTCTGTCGTAAATGCTTTTAAAAAAATATTTTTCTTGTAATGCAATTCAATAAATTTTTTCAGGCTACCTCGATATACCGCCTCTTGGTTAATGAGAGCTTTGAAGAATACAGACATTTTCATTATAGATATGAAACATTTAGATTTATTTGCCCTGAGGTAGATGATGGTGCCACATGCATGGTTTGTCCAAAGGTAGTGATTTCATTCTTCTAAATTTTATTTCTTGCGTAAACTATCAGCAGCTTTTTTAAAAGAACTAGATCAATAAATTACGTGTCGATTTTGTTTATAAAATTAAATATGGTAATTACAAAATTGCGGCCTCTCAGCTTTACTTTGGTCTAGTTTACAGGTGATAACTTTTGCCAATGGCATGCTAGAAAGTTCATTTAAAATTTGTCTTTTTGCATATAGATCTAGCAGTTTGTTATGACCCAAAGAATGAAATGCTATTCGGACATCTTTCCAGCGTTTTAACAAAAGCTGTAATTGTTAAATGAATCTAAAGTTATAATCTGTTCGATTTTCTCTTGCCAAAGGACAGCCCGAAACCATTTTAGCAATATTTTTTATAATTCTTTTATAAGCTTTTAGCAACAAAAATTTAATCTTGAGACTTTTTCAGAGATAAAAATTTTTTGATCGTCTTTGTTAACATCATTTTCCATCTTTTTTATCATTTTTGGAAACATGAAATAAAAGGGAACAAGCCGTTTCTACACTGCTTGATTTTATTGGATTCTATTTACTAACTTATTTAGGTATATTTTTATTATTTGTCTATTTTTTGCATCCATTCAGCCCTATAATTGCTCCAAACATCTTTAGGGGGTAAATTTCGCATTCAGAAATAATTTTAGAATATTTTGTACCATAAATCTGGAAAATTCGGGAATACGACCTCCCAGCCTTTGGAGTGGGTGGCTAGTTGCTTCTTTTACTCCATCCACGTTGAATTTCTTTCGGAATTCCGCAAATATTCTCTTTCACTCTATTGAACCTCCAATAGAAAAAAAGTGAATAGACATCGAGTATTTTCAGACCCTGTGCAAATTCTGTGAATCTAGGGAGGTTGAGCTGTGTGCAATCTAGCCTGCACACAGACATTTAGTAAGCTTCTTTTAAAACCAGACAGTTAGTAAATGAGATAAATTCTTTTATGAATAAATATTTTGTCGCTTGAAGAAAACAGGGCCCTATTTTCAAAATAACACCCAGTACTTTATGACTACACAAGTTAGCTTAACCATCACCCTAAGTTATTTGTTAATTTTAGCAATTATTGTTTACAGGAAAATGGAAAAATTGTTTTGATGCTTGATGGAACATTTGGATGTGTCAGAAAGCAAAGTTCGGGTTTCAGTATGGAACCTCCGAAACACGGGGAACGATTTTTTGTAGATGACAGTAGTGTAGACCAGTTTGTAGATCAGCACTGCCAAAACACCAAAGATATTCGAATGGTAATCTCATGTGCATTAATTTTGTAGCCATCTGATGTCCTTAAGTGTAAAGCATTTGATTCTATTATTTTGATAGTTAGTATAATAACAAACAAATCATTTAGAAAGTGGGCTAGTTTTTAGTGGATCTTGTGATACTAGTGTTTAAATACATAATCTTTAATTTGTTTCATTATTATTTATTTTTATCATGCTTGTTAATCTAGGGAGCCTTGTTGCTGATATGGACCTTTAGAACAAAAGATAAGACGAAGATAAACATAAAAATATGTTTATCATGTTCTTCTCTGCTGACTTTTTCCTTTAGTTGCTTGTAAGTAGCATTAGGTGCTCTGTTTTTGAAGAAGACAGTGTAAAGCTTTTTGCAATTGTTTGCAGGATTGCAGTAACTTCAGGGCTGGAGCTGACAGTTTAAGATCTAAGCTGCAGTACAAAAAGCTTGATATCACTGGCGTGTTTGGTTGCTCGTGTAAACATGACATACCTGGTTGTTTTCTTAATATGAAGAACGGTGAAAGGTGTGCGGCGAATGTAAAAATTCATCTATCATTCATTCTAAAATAATTAGTGATAAATTAGATATCCAAGGTTAATTGTTGGAACAAGTTTCTTATTTGCGTTTGGGGAAATGTTCCTAAAGATTCTAAGAGGCTTATATTGAATTTCTGTATTAGCATCACACTTATTAGCATCGAAGGTGAAATCATAGGTTATTTTGATTTGTCAATTTATTGTAAGTTATTATAACAGTAGTCTCTTTATACTAACACTGAAATATTTTTTTCAAAAGGTTGGGATATCCTGTGTACATTTTGCAAGCCTTTCTAGAGAAGTTCGAAAATTCAAATGTCAGTTTTGGTATCCTATATGATATTTCATGCCTCTTAGCCAAACATTTAAAGGTTTGTTTCTATTATGAAATATACATATATCCCTGGAATTTTTCGCTACAATTTATTTATTTCAGTATCAAAATATGGTCAAATAGGACTATGAAAAATTTCTAACATTGAACTAACCTTTGAAAAATGCATTTAAAACAAATAGAATAAAATCCTCATTTAAATACATAGCAAGATTTTGAAAATGCAAACATGTCTTACTTTAATAAAACAATAATAGTATAACAATGGAGCTGATTGACAAGCAAGATGTTTTTCCAGTTAAGGTAGATTTAAACTTTGTTCAGATAAATTGCAATCTAGAAATCAGCGATTATTTATAGTAAGTTTTCTGTGTAGAAAAACAAGTTGGATGTCAAATTTCAAAGCTGCACGTTCGCAACACCTGACTGGCATGCATATGGACATGTGGCATCATGTCAAGTAAGTTTTATGTGGTTGATGCTAAGTATCCACTAAAAAATGAAAACTATTTTCATGCGTTACCTCTTCCTCAACTAGTTTGTAATAAGACGTTTATGGCTTTCTTTGTAACCAGATTAATGTAACATTACATCATTCTTACCTTTGATTATCCGGTAAAGAAAGTTACGTTTCCTTGAAGATTCAGTTTGCTGTCCGGTTTCTTTCGGATTTTGGAATCACCGATGGCGAAGGGGTTGAACGCCTGTGGTCTTACTTGCGTCAGTTCACTGCAATAACAAAGGAGATGACACCATCTCATAGAATAGATTTATTGACTGATGGTTTGATTCATTTTGCTCAACGCAAAAATGCAAGCTTGGGTAAGAATATCTTTACCTTACATAAATATATATATATATATATATATATATATATAGATGATCAGTAAAAAAACAACTTGATTAACGTTTCGCAATATGCTTCTTCAGAATAACCTTCACTTACATTTGGAGCGTAAAACTATATATATATATATATATATATATTTATATGCAAAACTATTTATATATATATATATATGAATAATCTTTATCGTAAGCAGAAGTCAGGGAATTATCTACATTATTTGCACATTATTTGTTATTGCGTTAAACTTTACTGTCAGTCATAGATAGAATTGTTTGTGGCTAATTATTTCCTGTCAAATACGTTTTCAATTTTTTCCTGTTATCTGGTGTGAAATAGAACTTGTGTCAAATCCAATCAATAATTGTTATTAAAGAAGCATATTATGACATATAGCATGATTTCATTGTATTTCTTTTAGAGTATTCATTGGTAGAAAGATATCAGAAAGCAGACAAAATCTTGCTATCTAGCACCGAAGAACTGAATCGTTTGATGAAAGAGGCCAAAGGTAATGTTATGCAAAAGCAGATACAGGACAAGGCATTCAACATGTCAAGCAGGCTATTTTGATTGACGACTGTTGCTAATAAAACTAATTAGGTATTTTCATTTTAGGAAGAAAAATTGAATTTAAAGGGCATTTGTCGCATTAACAGTTGGCCAATTAAACAAAAGCGTTTGGAATGGATTTCAATTGTTTCGTGACTTTTCATTTTTTCTTCTTGAATTTTTACTGCCGTAAAAATTCGCCCTCGATTCCATGCTTTCTACCAAACAATGAATATAATTGTATTGCATTAGCCAATCATGTTGAAGATACATGCATTTAAATATCTGAAAGTCACATCCAGCTCGGCATGGGATATCTTAATATATGTTATCTACAGAGAAGAGAACAATAAAGTCTAGGGTAGAAAGAGCTTCATTTTCAATGTATTATGTCCTTAAAACCGTTAGCTACATGGCTTGCACATGGGACATGTTCTTTTAACATTGCAAGGTTGGCGTAAATATTCAATGCAACAAACGACTTCGCTTTGTTTTAAAGCATTATCGTTATTTTTTTCTCTCCTCTTAACGACTGTGTCACTTCCGTTTTAAGGTAGTTTCAGTGAAGAGGATATATTATGTTGGCATGAAACCGAAAAGATGACATTAGCAATGAGAAATTCAAACAGAAGTAAGAAATGTCTTTGCTTTATCTCTATTTGCGGTTTTTTTGTCAATTTTGATAAATTTAAATGTTTTGTTTGCCAATATGTTTTGAAATATTTGCAAATTGTTGTAGTAATGTACAAAAGTAGAAAACCAAATCTATTCATATATCGCAGGGAGATATCTTGTTTGATTTGTTAATGAAACAAAAGAGTTTGCTAACCACTTCTGATCTTTAAAGGGCACGGTCAAGAGTGGAGAGAGCTGTATATTGCAAAACTCATAGCACTGAGCACAGCTAAGTATGTTTTCCATTTCTAGACACAAGGAACCAACGTGGCTATGCATTTTTGAATATTATGGAAACTATTATTTGGTAGAAAAGCGTATCTCAGACATTGATTTTGTTTTGAGTATTTAAGAAGAATTAATATTGTTAGCTATGTTATCTTCAATATTTTCATGTAATTTAAACTGCTCTTTTGTTTTTTTCAGAGATGAACTACCGTTATGTACAACAATTGATCAAATCAAGCAAGTTCGGCAACATATGAAAGAGTATGAGTATTGTGAATGGCTGTATCACTTCCATGGGATGAATTCCTTGCCATGAAATCTTAAATTGTCGATAAAGTTGAAATTATATTGTTGTCTTGATGCGACGTGATATGATTGACGAGAATTAATTGATTTGATGTTAAACCTAAAGAAAATATATGATTCCAACTTTTAACCATTAGCAAAAGACCGTTTTCAGACATAAATTTTCCCAGAATATTGGTGACTTTTGGCAAGTTGTTCGAATTTGGAGCGTATTTTTCAGAATTACCTATTATGATAGTTATGAAATTTCAGAAATCTCAATTCTTTTATGATTGTTGTAAAACATACGGGTGTCCAGTAATACTGTAACAAGACATGAATGTGAGCACTTTTCGAATAAGACAGTTTCGATGTGCCTGGCTAGAAAACATGGGCTCTCTAGTTTGTACGATCGATATTTTATTTTTGAATTTCTATGCTTTATCGTGTTTTCATATTCCCCTCAAGAACTGATCAAGAATTGAAAAAGATTGAAACCAAGAATGGTTTATCCAATAGATGGACAACAAAGTCAGTGGACTTCCAACATACGTTGAAAATAATTGAGGACCAAAAAAAATCAAGCCTTTTGATAAGCGCTCGCAGTCAAGCAGCAGAACGAATTTTCCATCTTGATCTTAAAAAGAAATACTCTTGTAAGTGATGCGAGTGTTTCAGTTTAGGGTAAATTTGGTATTGTCGTAGCACATTCATTCGATAGTGAACGAAGTGTGACTAGTCAATCAACTTTTTTACAATCTGCTTACTTTGTTCCAAAACTTGTATCCACGAAAATAAGACATTGCTGTTATAAGATAGTGATTGTAATTAGAAAATGCTTCTGTATGCTTCGATCCAGTGTTAACACTGTAGATTCATGATAATTGTGAACGTAAAAGCTTCAATGCTATTTTGAAAATGAATTTAAAGTGTGGAAAATGAATAAAAAAGTTAAAGGGATTTTATGTTAAAAAATATATAGCATAAATTCGTTTAAAAGCATATAGCTGCTGGAGATAAGCCACCGCTCTTTTAATTACACCTATTTTCATTTTTTAGGTGGACAGGATATTCCGAAACGGATCGAAGCGATGATTAAGAAAGCCTCGAAAAAGCTCACTGAAACAGTAGAAAAATATAACTCGAGCGTGTTTTCTTCAATCAGCAGCATGCCTAACACTGTCACGTTTCAGGATCTCAAGGACCCCGAAGGACTTATATACGAGGCTGTAAATGTTGACCTGCAAGTATGTTTTTAATTTTATTAAATGAATTCTTCCTCACTTTCACTTTTCTCGATCGGTTTAATGCAGTTGATGCAGAATTTTTAGACCAATTTTTATCCTTATAGCAAAAGATTTCTGACCAATTTTTGGACTTCTTACCAGGATGTTGTTCAGAGTTTTATTTTATTTTTCTCTTTGATATTAGTATCAAGTTTTTTACAAAGATCTTCTTTTGCTTTATTTCTAGCTACCTTGTTCTTTGTCGCCTAGCATTAGAAGAAAGGCAACATCATTGTATTTCTTAAAACAGCGAGCTTGCAAAGAGAAACAAATAGTGCCAGTTGAAGCTAAGCGGTTGTTGCAAGTAGTTGAAGATAGAATCAGAAAGGTAGACCAGCGAATAAAGGATCTATCAGTGAGAGAGGACATGCGCCCGTTGCATCTTGGGTCAATATGCATTCTATTGAATCATGTTTGCAGTCTCAAAGCAAGAGTGAATCAAGCCAAACAAATTTTTTCGAAGATTATCGAAGAAAAACACCCGCCTTTCGAAGATGTAAACGCAAAGCCTTGCACCCCTGTTCAACCGACTAGGGACTCTACTGAAGCCTCATATGATGATGAACTATTAGATATATTCTTAGAAGGTGTTGATGACGACCTTTCTGACATTGAATAAATCTAAATTTTGTTTTATGGAATGAAAGATAAAAGAATGACGGTAGTCATTAATTTTGCAATTATATAAATACATAGAGATTTAGTCAACTTCTAAGAACTCTTTGAAATAAAATCTTAAATGTCTTTTTAGACCGAAATAGAGCCCTGCCATCAGCGTTCATGCCAAATATAACTTCCGTCTTATTCCAAATGAAAACATTCATCTTTCAACGTAGTTATTTCATATATAATGTTGCCATACTATCGATATATTCTTCCTAGCACCTGGGATATGTTTACCCCGATACGTTTTCAAATGAAAATGCAATCACATTTTTACGGTTTTGCTTCTTATCAACACAACGAAGATAATTGTGTCGCAAAAACCGCAAGCATTTGAAACACCTCCCAGATTGTTCTATTTTTGGGAATTGCAATTATTCGAAAACACAACGTTGTCGTGGAAATACAAAACTTTTGTTTTCTTTAAGATGTGAATGCATTTTTTCAAAACATATCGGTATAATCTTGTGCTTAGATGTCTCTCTTCTCTCCTGCAAACTTGATTTTAAATTACGTCTTCCTAATCAGTTTTCCCTATGTACCAGAGAGCTAAATGAATTTAATTTCATGATAATTTAAAGGTATCGTTTAAATATTCAAGATATTAATATGCAAGGTTTACCGACTAACTTGTGAATTATTGAGGATGCTTACCTCACGATATTTTATGACTTCGCGTATAAATGTTTATCCATTAGCAACCTTGCCAGCATCCTCTATCTCAACCTGCAAAACCAAGGAAAATATGTACGCATGAATCTTAGACACTCGACAGTCACTTAGCAATATTTTTTCAAGGGCAATTAATCTACCTCAAATCTGAAATGAGTCTAAATACCTATTAATTAGGGCTATCATTCTATGCATTTGTCTGAACCAATTATATACTACTTTAAAAAGACATGCGATAAAGACGAAAGATCATCATTTTATGCGGATCTTGTCATTCGCGAAATAACCCAAGGGTATATTCAACATTGTTCATTTCATGAAATGACTAAAATGGACAAATCCTCATGAAAAATAAAAATTTTCAAAAAATCATCATTTTATGCGGATTTTGTCGTTTCCGAAATAACCCAGGGGTATATTCAACATTGTTCACTTCATGAAATGACTAAAATGGACAAATCCTCATGAAAAATAAAAATTTTCAAAAAAGCATCATTTTATGCGGATTTTGTCGTTTCCGAAATAACCCAGAGGTATATTCAACATTGTCCACTTCATGAAATGACCAAAATGGACAAATCCTAATAAAAATAAAAAATTTCAAAAAATCATCATTTTATGCGGATTTTGTCGTTTCCGAAATAACCCAGGGG